GGCTCCTCCCTGCTGTACACTGCTTCCCGACAGGGAAATTGCTCTAAGAGAAATAAGAATAGCCGGGGCTCCCGTAGCAGTAGAATTAAATAGGTGGGAGGTGCCCTGAGCTGCAAGGGGAAGTCCCTTTGTGGCCTCGGCGCTGTCTTGTCAGTTTGCTTGTCAGCAATTTGGTCTTGTGTGACTAGAGTAAAAAAGGTAAAATATGGTGTTCCAGCAAGCAAAAAATCATTTTTTTGTGTCACTGTAGAAACCCAGTCCTTTCCATGTTGTGCTCTCCCTGTGGCTGGGACTGCACTGGTGTTTTGGCCAAAGTGGGGGAGGGAACCTCGAATTCACCTAGGCAGTTCTGCAGCAGGCAGGTGCCTTTCCTGGTCTTAGGGGTGGCAGGTGGGAGTGCTGGAGGGTGACAGTCCATTGTCCTTGCGTCTGTGTAGGTCTGTGAACAGTGGTGGGCATTGCTGAGATTATTGCTGGGGCTCCTGACCTCCATGTTTGTCATCTTTGTGGGAAAGGGCAGGGAGTCTGTTAGTGCTCATGTTCAAAAGCCAAAGAGGATCCTTTCACCCTCTGACCCTGTGTGTGAAGTTTGTCTGTGCTCTTTCTAATGTGTAGTTACTTATTTTGTATTCCAGTAACCCTTCTGCAAGGAAGTTGCATTTTGTCAAGAGCCTATTTGACTTAATTTTCCCTCTCTGGGACCAGCCTTTGCTGGTCCTTTTCTAGTAAACCAAAAGCTCTGCAACCAGAAGTCCGCATGGCAGGAGGGACACCGGATCCTCCTCTGACTGAATGCACCAGATGTTTCATATTGCATGCTTTAGGGCTGGATTTGTGTCTGTAGCACAAGGAGAAGTGACAAAATTTATTTCCATATCATGTGTAGTATCTTTTTTGGTTAGTGTAGTAGTAGCAGGTTCTGGGTCTAGTAGAAGAAAGCTCTCAAAAAACTCAAATTGAGAGTTGTGCCTGTGTAGCTAAGCATGTGGGCAATGCATGACTGGAAGGGCATTGTGAGCTACTTTAAGAATGCTTTGAGGGAGTGCCTCTGGGCAGTGATGTGTTGCTAATGAACTGTCTGTCTTTACACAGTCCACTCTCACAATGATTTTCTCCTGGCCATTCTTACCCGATGCCAGATCTTGGTTTCTGCACCAGGTGAGTCCTGAGAGGCTTTTCCTCTTTATATTAATCTTGCTGCTTCTTGCTTTTAGCTTCGTAATTGCTTTTGGCTTGCAGCTGGATTATGAAGAGAAAGTATAAGCACAGCGACTCTCCTGCGTGTGTTACCTGAAGTATCTGAGTATAAATTATGAGACGGAGGGAGAGTGCGCCTTTGTTCCCCGAGCTCAGCACTGGGCTGATGCAAGTGTTGGGGTAGAGATCAAAGCTCAGAAGTCTTGCTTCTGAGTGACAGTAGTTAGGTTAGAGCCCATTGCTGTGTGACTAAAGGTGGGGTTGTTTGTTTCTGTGTGCATTACTCTGTTCTTAACTATCGAATTTCATTTGTCTCTTTATCCAGTCATAGAGTCTTCTGCAGCTTTTCTGCAGCCATCCAGTCAAGCTTCATCTTCCTGGGCTTGAATTGCTCAGATTTGCCAGCAAACTCTACCAGCCCCACAGTGCCCCTCTTTTCAAGGCTATCTAGGAATGTGTTAAAAGTACAAGCCCCAGCACAAAGTAGTGTGGTGCTCCACAGTTTCTTCCATGTGCTTATTATGTCCTGCCTGACCTTTTTTCATTTCAAGTCCTTGCAAGGACTTTCCCTCCTGTCCCATTGAAGCTTACTGTCTTTAAGAGCCCTTGAAGAACCCTTCATGGTAGTGCTTCAGCAGCTTGGTGACAGCATGTAACGGAGTGCTAACTGACCAGCTAGGCACCTCCAGTGCTTTCAGGCAGGTTTTTGTTGGCTGTAGCCACAGATCTGCATAAGTCAGCTTGAACAAAAAAACACCACAGTTTAACCATGTGTGTGTTCCTGAGGGCATGGTTTAGTGCTTTACAGTTAATAGTACACATTGCTAGTCCCTTCTAGAGTCTGTTTTACTCTCCTCAGATCAGTGCAGAGTCTCCCAATCGTTTTTGAGCTAGGCTGTGCTGAGATACATACCTCTTTCTGGGCAACTGACTGGTGGACACACATTTTACTTGCCAGTCTGCTGTGTGTGGTGCAGCAGATTGCACGTGCAAGCCCAGGAAAGTTCAGTATGAGTGGAATACTAGATGTTATGTCTAGATTTGTTTTCTCCTTCTAGTTTGATACCTGCAAAGTTGGGGTTTTTTCTTCCTTTTTTCTTTTTTCTTGTTCCTTTTTCCACATGTGAGAGTGGAAAGCTAACAGGCTTTTGTCTCCACCACCATCTTTTGGGCAGAAGGTAGAGATGTAAACATGATTCATGGAAACAAGTAACTTCAACAAAGCGTGCTTGATGCACTTGGCATGTCATTGTGAGGGTTGCTGGTGCATGTACTTTCCACCTTCATGTGGAAGACATGATGGAAAAAGAAATGCTATTTTGTATTAATAAATTGTGTGGTCAGCATTAAGAGTGTACTTGATATTGTGGCTTTTAGAAGAGGAAACTTTCGGGAAGGTATTTTTAAGGAGTGATTATCATATATGTTGGACCATGCAAACAAACTGTTCTGATCCAAATTTTGCTATCTCTGGCAGTAGTGGTTCCACCTGGACTTACAGGGGACACTGGGGGAATGTGATCCTTTGTGAGGACACTTTCCATTTCCCCCTCTCATCTGCTTAGGCTGTTGGTCACACAAAGTTCAAATCCCGGTTCAACAGCCTGTGTGGCATGGGATGTTTAGGACTTGGTGGTGGAGAGGGAAGGAAGTTCATACCTATTTCGATGTGAAGAATGACCAGTTTCTTTAATTCC